TTTAAGCTCTTGGTTTTTCTGGTGAATTCACCTTTTGTCCTGTGCATCAAAATTAACATATTTTTGTTTTGATTTGTTTTGAATAATGATTGTGTGTGTGTGTGTGTGTGTGTGTGTGTGAGAGAGAGAGAGAGAGAGAGAGAGAGAGAGAGAATATGTGTGTGTGTTAGATCTCTGGGATTTCTTTCTTTATTTAAATTCTTGCTATCTTTATTTAGAGGCCAATTATTCAAGGGTTAACTCTCAAATGCACTGGAAACTAAGAGATCTCCTATGATGAGTCTTAAATCAGGAGATAAGTAGTGGTGATGATCAGAGTGCTTCTACCCTCTTGGAGGATGAGTGGTAACCTGAACTTGGATTTCAGCATCTAGTGTGGCTGACAGACTCTACTACTAGTATCTCCCACTGTTTAGGTTCTCCCAATATCTGAGTCAGATTAAAATAAAGCAAGGTTTATAAGAATTAAAATTCTAACTAACAAATGTAATTCTGTATGCAAAAAAGAAAGAATGAAAAAGAAAAACAATTAATCTGTATTTGAATTGGAAAAAAGTACAAAAAGTAAAGCATTTCATCTTATTAAAAAAGAAGTAATTGACAAAAGTTTAGAAATTTTATAAGGATTTCATAAGGATTGCTTCAAAATGTAAACTTAAGAAATTAAAAATAATCAGTACCAGGAAGCACTAAGACAGAACTCCATTTTCGAGGGACAAACTATGTACCCTAAAGACAGGCTTCCAATGACCTACCTCTTCCAGCCTCACCTTCCCTACTTACAATTACTACCCATTTGATACATGTCAGGAGTTTAATGCACTGGTTAGGTTAAAACTCTCATAACCCAATCATTTCCCCTTTAAACTTTCTTGCATTGTCTCACATGAGCTTTTGGGGACACTTCATATGTAAAACATAACACCAAGCATACAAGTCTTTTAAAATGTAAATCTTATAAAAGCACTTTACCAAGTTGGTATTCTCTAAACTAAAGTTGCAAGAATTTTTTTTTGTAACAAGTTTTCAGAAGTATATAAACATAAAAATTTAATTCAGCATCTATTTATGTCATTTAATGTTTTTTAACTGGATAAAAGTACTCTTAAATTGAGATAGAAATTTAAATGTGATTTTAGAGAGATAACAAGGAGAGCCTGATTTGTTTAAAGTTTGACAATGTAGAACATGAAAACATTTTGCCACATTTTTCTTTTCCCTGTAAGGAAGTTAGGACCTCTCTGAGCTTTTCTGTTTGATTCATGTTTCAGATGTAACTGATATTCAATTATATTATATTAACTGATATTTAGATAGCCTCAGAAAAGAATATTGGATATTTGAAAGAGGAGCAATGGTGAGCTTCAGAAATTAAACATTTTAGCTATGATTCGTCAAATGGTCAGCCTTATCTAAGTTAAGGCTCTTCCTCTCACCATACTCCATGTTAGGATAGTTCCAATTTAGTTAAGTTCAATTAAGTTCATTTAAAGTTCTATTAAAAAGTCAGATTTTGTTGTTAGGACTACTGTGATCTCAAAATAAAAATGACTATAATACAAATCTAAAAAAAATGTTTGCACAAATTACAAAATATATTTAGAAGTGAAGTTTTAAAAGAAGTTTAAAATAAAGTAAAACCTATAAAGGCCCTATTAAGAATTTTATTTACAATTAATTTGATGAGTGCAAATTTTAATGGGGGCCAAATTGATATCAAAGATATTTTTGTGTTGTTAAAAAATTATGTTTTTGGTTCAAAGGTTTCATATACACTGAGTATGTTTTTGTTCTTGTTATTTTTATTTTCTATTTTCCTTGTAGAACTTTATAATTATTATCTGTTAGTGTTTTATAGAAGTACTACTTTTAACACAATAACCTTAAGAGATAATAAGCCATCACCTACAGAAAGACAGAACATAATTCTTACTCTGAGTACTCATAGTAACCCCAATTAAATGGAAGGGTTGACCATAAAATCATAGATAATAAAATTAAAACCCATTAGTCTTTAAGATTGGTTCAACTGGTCTGCTTCATGTTTAAAACCAAAACTTGGACACAAAAGAGAAGGAATTAAAAAGGCTAAGAGATAAGCAGCCAATATTTTGGACCTTGTCTTCTAAGATCATCCAGGACCTAGGGAATGATGGAATCTCACTAAGGGCCCTAAAACTCTGGTGAGTCAACTGGCCTCCCACTCAGGGGATCTGTGTGGATTCTAGAGAAAAGGAAGACAATTACTGAACATATTACAAAAAGGAGGGGAATTGAGGAAGAATCTATCCATGATTGTTCCAAGGGAAGCTGCATGTGATCACCAAGACCCTGACCTAAACTGACATTTGGCACACCTGGTAGAGGAAAAGTTAAAGGAGTCAAGAGACTTCCCTTAAGCTCCCAAGAGCGATCTCTGAGGAGTCTCAGCTGAAATTAACTAATTTTAATCAATTAGAGGCCAATTGCTCAAGGATTATCTCTCAAATGCACTGGAAACTAAGTGATCTCCTAGGATGAGTCTTAAATCAGGAGACAAGTAGTGGTCATGGTCAAAACTTCTACCCTCTTGGAGGATGAGGGGTAACCTGAACTTGGATTTCAGCATCCAGTGTGGCTGACAGACTCTACTACTAATATCTCACACTGTACAGGTAAGAACATGTAGGTAAGAACGTGGTTGATTTTTTTTTTTTACCAACTTGCTCTTAACACTGTTACATTTTAGACATTAGATGTTACCCAAAAGCTCATATGTAAGACAATTCAAGAAAGTTTAGAGATGAGTATATATATATATGCTAAGAGCCACATCCAAGTAATATGATGCATGGCATTTTTGGTTGAAAGGTGATGCCAGCAAGCCATTGAGATGATATGATTATGTTAAGATTTGCATTCATATGATATTGGACTCCTGCTGTCCACCTCAGCCTGCTATGGGACCCCTGGAGAGTTCCCATTGGTTGGGGAAGTGCGGTAGGAGGGAATTCTGGAGGAGGAACTTCCTCTTGGGTTCCGCAGATCCGGGAGAACTACCGCGTGCTTGTGCCCAGCCAGACTGCGGCATATATATATATATATATATATATATATATATATATATATATATATATATATATATATATAATTCAGCCATAAAGGAATATAAATAAAATTATGTCATTTGTATGAAAATGGATGGAACTAGAGACCAGCAGGTTAAACAAAATAATTCAAACTCAGAAGATCCAAGGTTTTATGTTTCCTCTCAGATGTGGAAGCTATAGAGGAAAAAGAAAGATGCAGGCAGGTCTCATGAAAATCAAAGGGAAATCAGGAGATGAAAGGAACCAAAGAATGGGAGGTGGAGAGGGAGGGGTTCAGTGCTGGGGAGTGCTATTGGCCAAATTATACTGTTTTATTGTGTATCTGTGTGCATGTACAAATAGGTCACATCATTACCAATCAGTTTGTACAATTAAAGTGCACCAATAAAAAGTGAGAGAAAGATATGGAAAATATGTTTTACTATGTATTTTAAATTTATACCTAAGATGGAGAATGTTTCTTGTGAGGCTTAGATGGTGATCTTCATATCACAAATGATAACTAGCTATTACGATTTGGGCATGAGGTGTCCCCCAAAAGCTCATGTTGAGACAATGGTAGATTGTTCAGAAGGGAATTACTGGGTTGTGAGAGTCTAAAGTCAATCAGTGAACATTCACCTGATGAGATTAATCGAGTGGTAATTGGAGGAAGGTGTGTTGTGGCTACAGGGAGGCAAGTCATTGAGGTCATGGCTTTGGGGTATATATGTTGTATCTAGCAAGTGGAGTCTGTCTCTATGATTTCTGATCATCATATGAACTGCTTCTGTCCACCACACTTTCCAGCCATGATGTTCTGTCTCCTCTCCTACCTCCAGAAATGGAGCCAAACTTCTATGGAATAAAACCTCAGAAACGGTGAGAAATCAAATAAACTATTCCTCTTCTGCAATTTACCTTGTGGGTCTTTTATCCACAGCAGTAAAAAAGCTGATTAAAATACTAACTATTCCTCATTTGGGCCATTTTGATCATAAAAAGGTTCCATGATATTTCCCTTTAAGGACAACCTTTGGACTACTTGAGGGTTTATTTACCTATTTTTCAAATAATTTATATACTTTTTATATTGTTTTCAGTGTTACTGATTATTATAATAGATAACATGTTTATATTTGAAGGAAAAATATGATGACTTTATTTTCAGTCATTCCAAGTTATTTAGATTCCTTATTAGTGTTATGGGTGAGATGAGACAATAAGCTACTGAGGAAACAGAAAAATTTGACAAACTCTTCATAATTACAGATTATAGAATGGTAAACATAATTGCAAACTGTCTCATTGTTGAAAGCCACAGCCGAAGGGGTGCCAGCAAACTTCCAGCTGCCGGCTGATGATTGGCTCAAAGCAGACCCAGCAACATCTAGCTGATTGGCTCCTCTGCGGTGATGCTCATTGGGCTGTTTCCCTGCCCTTTCAGACCACGGAGCTGCTCATTGGGGGACTTTTTTGGCTCTGCCCACGAGACCCAGCCAATCGGCCTCAAGAGCAGGAGCGTTGTGGGAGGTGGAGAGAGGCTTGTGTTGGAGAGAGAGGCTTGTGGGAAGCTGGTGGTGGCAGTTGGGGCTCTGAGGGTTTTTCCTGAGAGGCTGTTTTGTTTGGCGTGTGTGGTTCTAAAAATAAAGTTAGTTTCTTTTGACAAGTGGCTCCTGATTGTGCCCAGCCAGACTGCGGCATCTCATTACATTTCACATCATAACAGTAACAAATAGAGATAGCATTGTGTCTTATTTGAGGGGAGAGCAAAATTCAGCAAGTTTGTTTTCTGTTCATGTTCTATATTACCACAACCTAAAATTGAGACCTAGTATCTGTTTCCAAAGTATAATTATGAGAATGGGCAACATGGTCACTATTTTTTAAAAATTAAGAGTAAATAATAATAAGCAAATAAAAACAAATATATTCATTTATAATTAGCTTTAATTGTACTATAGAAAGCAGATAGGAATCATTGTTTTTAATTCCACAGACATTGTATTGGGAAGTGATTTAAGTGGAAGAAGGGAAATGACTTTATGAATTCTTCAGGAGAGAATTGATGGTGAGACTGGATTATAATAAAACACACTAGCAATACTGGTCTCTCAAACCCAAAAGGAAGAGTATGCTTTTTACAAATTGTAATTATTAAGAGCTTTCTTCAAGAAAGTTAAATGTAAAAAATCTATTCCATAATGAAGTTAAAGCAGGTAGGAATCTGAGAAACCATGTTGATACTGTGAGTGAATACTTACTAGTCTTATCTCAAAGAATAATCATAATTAAGCTCATCAAGTTTTTGAGTATGACTAATAAATTATAATATTCAATTTCTAGGTAGATTTATATAGTTTAATCTTTCCTGACGTTTGATTTTTCTTTCACTTGAAATGTTTATACCCCTTGACCAGGAATAAAATCTCAAGAAAAAAAAAAACCTTTGAATTCATTAGGTAGGTTGTGAAAATTTGTTTTCTCACAGGCAATAGAGAGTCTAGCATTGTATCCTTTTGTTGCTGGAGTAAACTGGAAATGCCTGTCTGTGAGGACTCCCAGGTTCAGGCTGAATAAACTATTCCTCTTTTTTCTTCTTTTCTGTTTTAGCAAACTTCTGACAACAAAGCAGACAGCATTTGGTGATGGCGAACATCACAGTGGCCACACAGGCCAGCAGGAACCCAAGCACATCCAAAGAGTAGTACTGGAACCAGGAGAGGTCATGGGCAGCCATCCGGAGGTGTTTAGCTCCTTTGTGGCGCATGACAAACTCGATCCAGAAGACAACTCGGTCCAGAGGCTTCACTGGCTGTTCATGGTGAATTCTTGATAATCTCATAACATTCTCTTTATATCTATACAACAATCATAAGATACCAATATTTTAAAAAAGTTAATTGGCCTAAATTTTTAAGTCCCTGAAAGTGTTAGACCAGGACACAAGAAAAGACCACTGACTTCAATTAAAATCAAATTAAAACAAGCTTATTATTTCAACCATCAGGGCTTCCTCTCTCACCCAAAACCTCCGGAACAAGACAGCTGCCGCATCTTTCCTGCAGCCCAGCTTTATAGCCCAGAAAGTCACACAAAGGGGGGCTACAGATAACAAAACTGACGAGCATAATACTAATGGTAGTTTACATTTTTGCTGGCCCCGACATCAGTATTTATGAAGGTCATTAGAGCCTCAGAGGGTTGTTATCTGGCCAGGGAAGGCCAAGATTTGTGAGGCGTCACTAAAGTTTCAGAGAGGGCTGCTCTCTGGTCAGAGAGCCAGGCATGGGTGAGTACAAGGCACAGGCAGGCATTCCAAGCAGGTTCGGAATTTGCAGTAATTTATAGTAAAGCCAAAATTATCTTTCCATGGCTTTGTGGTGAGATGGTTCCCATTTTTAAGAAGAGATCAGGTTGGGTCTATCAAAACGTTCTTTGAAAGTTTCACAAAACTGGGTCAAATAAGTGTCATAGAACAGCCATAGAAGAATTTTCTTTTTTTAAATTCTGTTGTCTTGAGAAATTCAGCTTCTAACATGGTGATTTGTTTATTTACTTCCATTTCAAAGTTCAAATGTAATTAAAATGGTGATTGTATAGAATGGGTTTGAAGTCATTCAAGCTCCTTAAATTGGAGATTTGTGTTGGACACATATTTTCCAAAGTGAAAATGGAAGGTCAGGTGGGAAAGGTAATATTACCTAGTAGACCAAGTGGAAGTATGCAATTTTCAGTGTGGTAAGTGATATGGTTAAACACTATTTAAAAATGATCATCTTGATGTTTTTGAAGAGGTATTGTGTCATGTTGGGTGAAATGACTTCGATCAATTCTATTTTGCTCTTCTATTCTACCTGTTGCTGTGTATTTTCACTCAATACCCAGAAAGATCCTTTTTGATTAAACACATGTCAGCTTCTAATACTGCTGTGACCAAAATTTTCGAATGGCTCCCCATGTATTTAGATTAATATCCAGTTCAATATTTATATACTGTTTCCTCACTTAGTTACTGCATGTTTGAACAATATATTATTTATGATTTTGTTTTTTAAAAATGTACTGAGTAGGTTTCATGGCATAAATATACATTCATCACTTAAGCTACATTTATCAGGTTCTACAAATTTTATATGCACTTGTATTTATTAATTTTTAAAATAATTTCTAAGTTATTACAAAAGTGTTCAAAATCATTTATTATTACACATTCTGTGTGTACTTTCTTTTTGTTATTTAGACTTGTTTACTCTTATTTAGTAGATGCATAAAATTTAGAATGGTATTGTTTGGAATGGCTTATGAAATAATATTTGAATAATTATTAGTATTTATTTTTAGAGGTTATTTTGCACTATTTTGGTAATAGTAGTAGAAGTAAAATAGCTTACATTGATTATGGCTTCATTGGGAGTTGTTTTACATTTTTACTCATGGTTTTATTGTATACTTAAATTTATTATGTCTTATAAACCAGGTTTAGTTAGTTGAATTAGTTTTAAAAATATGGTCTTTGATAATAATTCTGGTTTTTATAATTAATGTAAGCATTAATACCTTCACAGTTGAATTAACTTTTTAATTTTTGATTCATTTTCTTTTTTTCTGACCTATGTTTCATTCCCATTCTATTTACTTCTTGATACTTTAAAAGCACTATTCCATTGAATCTTATTACTATTTTGTTTTTGTTCACGCATTATTAAAGTGTTCTTTTAGGTGATGTTTTCCTTATACAGTAATATTACTGATCATTGTGATGAATGTTGAATTGATTGTAGATATGCTAGGCACTTTGTACTTTACATTGCATTTCCATTTGAATTGGGGAAATTTTGATAATTAAAGAATTATTTAACTAAAATAAAACATTTTCATGCTTCAAAGTGCACTATGAAGAAACTGATGGATCCCTCTATAGTAGATGGATTTTCCTCTTTGAAATGGAAGAACATGTTTGCAAATCACCCAGTATCTCACTGTAAAACTGATTCCATCTCTTCTCATTAAATAATTTGAGCCAAAAATCAAAATAAAAAACGTAGAGCATATATTTTACCCGCTCAACAAATGTCATTTGATTGCTTAATCCTGAAAATATAACAGGCACATAGGAAGGAGAAAAGAGTAGTTCCCTACTATACTTATTAAATTTGCAACCAGGCGATAAGCAGAGACTGCAAACAAATGGGTTTTGAAGAATTTCCGCCAGCAGCTCATCACAGGGACAAATGGCATCTGAAAGAATGACATCAAACCTTGATTCTTATAGTTTTGCCATAAGTTTCTTGTTCAAAACTGCATCTCTACATATAGTTTCTACATAATCAGAAAACTAACTCATAATTTTTTGAAATCTTGAATATTTCCAAAATGGATTTTTCACTGTTTCATAAATAATTATACCAAGTGATTGAGTATAAAAATTCTCTATATATTCTCTTGAAAATGATGAAGCATAGTTCTCAAACTTAATGGCAGATGATTTGTCACCATCCACAAAAATGGAACCTGAAGGTCTAAAAACAGTCACCTCATGTGCCCACTGTGTGAGCTCCTCCAGTATTGTCTTCATATTGATCCAATGGTTGTATTCCATTGCCCACACCAGCACCTTTCCACAACTTCCAGAACCAAAGTGTAACAGTGTAACAGGCGCAGAACTACAGTCATTTTCATAGACATCCTGGTGAAATGCAAGGCTTCCTTTCACAGTGAATTCCCTCTGCTCTTGCAAGTATCCAAGAAGAAATCATTATTTGGTTAAAAAGTAACTCGTATGTATAAAGGTAAATACATAAGTGAACATTTAGTATACCTGGATGCCAAGTAGAAAAATCAAAGGTGACTTTGAAAAATCATTAGGTGACTTCCTGCTTGTGTATGTGTAATGACTCTTTCATGATTATACATGCTCTCCTGCAGTTAAGAATGGATTATCCTGCATGTGCAATATACCTATCTTATGTTAAAAGTTTTAGAATAGTGTGAGGAATGGTTGCAAGTGAGATGACTTGTTCCTATAGATTCCTTGGCTGGAACTAAAGTAAATACATAGTTGAATCAACATTTCTTATAGATCATTGTTTAACAGATTGTTTTTTAAGTAAAATCTTTGTTTGCTTATAATTCACATAGGATGAAACTCACCATTTTTAAGTATACACTTCAATTTTTAAATTTCAGAATAGAATCTCAGAATTGTAAACCTCAGTTAACATTCAATGTTGAGGCATTTAACAATCCAAACTTTCCCAGTACCTCTAACCATTCCATGTCCCTCATTCCTAGGTAACCTGTAATCAATTTCCTCTCTCTATGGATAAGCTTATTCTGGTGGCATTTCAAATAATTGTTATATAATATATGGATTATGATTGATTTCAACATTTTCAAATAATTGTCATGGGTTTTGGTGATTTATATCAATACTTAAAATTATGTCACTTATCGATATTCCAACATGTGACAAGACTTCATTCATTTTCATGCTGTGACAGGGCATGAGCTATGCCACTGAACTGAGGCAACCATGGAAATCCTTTCTCTCCTGATTTTTATGGTCATGCTGGAAATATTTTATACATGTTGCTCAGAGTAGCACACATACATTTATTGAAGGGACAGTAAAAAGGAAATAGGGATGCTAAGGCAATTCTAGGTGACTTTGAACTATGCTGACCTGTTGTGGTTGCAACCTGCTCCTAAAAAAATTTTTAAGGTTACAGGTAATTATCCTTATCTCCTTAAGTTTTGTAACCAGGTCTTTGTAAAGCTCATAAAATTCCACCTCTCCCTTCCCACAGGGTACCTTGTATTCTTATTGGCATTTTGGACCTGCATTTCTTGTGCAGATAACAGCTTCTTTGCTGAGGAATATAACATAATCTATTAAGTTAAACCACCAGTTAAATTTTTTGTGTGTGTGTAAAAATGAAAGCATGTGGGTATCAGCTCAATGGTCCTACTTTATAGAATTATTACCTTAAACTCCTGTGCCCACTGTTAATGTTTGTGTGCTTCCTATTAAAGCCAACTAACAACTCATAGTGTAAAATAGATCACATTTGTTTTTCATTCCTAAGTTTTTGCACACTAACTTTTTCCCAACCTTGGGCTATTATGAATGATCTTATTTATTAATGCTTATTTAATAGTTTTATTTGCACATGTTTTCATTTCTTTTTGGTATATAGTTAAATTAAAATTATTGGGTCTTTTGAAAACTCTGTTTATCCTTTGAGGGCCAGAATGACTCCTTCCTCTAACCAGCATTGAATGAGTGTTTTAATTTCCATTCTAACCAGCATTGAATGAGTGTTTTAATATCTCACATTACTGCTAACACTTTATTATTAATTTTATTATAACTATGGTATGAATAAGTCAGATATCTCAATATAGTCAGATATCTCAATATGGTTCTTTCTGAATTTCCTTGTACTACTGGTAATAATATTTTTCCAGGTGATTGCATATGTTTTCATTGACATTTTGAAAATTTTTCTTGAAGATATGTCTATTCAGAGTTTTTGGTCATTTTTTATTTCGTGATATTATTGAGTTGCTAACTTTCTTTATATATTCTTGATGCAAATCCATTACCAGATGTATGATTTGGAAATAATAGTCATTTTTTCATTTATTTTATTGATTGTGCTCTTTCATGTAGAAAAATTTTAAGTTTCATGAAGTCCAATTTTTCCATTGAAATTTATTTGTGCATTTGTACCACATATTACCATCTTCAGGGTCATAAATATTTAAATATTTATTTATTTCTAATCAGCCCCTATATGTGGTTCTTTTATTGCATGCTTTTGAGACTAGTCTTAAAAATTAGAATAAAGTCCTTGTTCCCTGGTGTTTAAGGTTAAAATCCCAAGTGTATTGCTTGAATGTCTGCTTAGCATACATAATGCTGAAGTTCATAAGGACTAATAGTAGTTCTAGATATGTATTCAAATTCATGGGAATCTACTGAGTTCCACAGCAGACAAGACACCAATGAGTAGCCTGGAAGAGAACATGTGGCCAGGCTCAGGTTATGTATACAACAATGTGTTTGATGGGAGCTCAGCAGTGGCCTAGTACCCCACCTCATGACCCATACCTAGTTAATTTCAAATATCAGAGGGACTAGAAAGGAGCTTCTTGAATTCAAACACCTCAAGGGGAATACTTTCCTTGATTTCTTTTTTTCCCTTTTCTTTTCCTACACACATTTTATTGTTTATTATGTTATTTTTTCATAGTTGTACCAGATTTTCATTTAACTTCAGTGAGATATTTTCATGCATTCTCTATTGTCTTTTACTGTTTCATTTCCCCATCTTCTTTCTTTCTTAATTTTAGTTTTCTTAATTTTTAACATTTAGCTTTTTCTACAATGTTTCTGCTCCTTCACTTCTAGACTTTGTGAGTTTTTTCAATCTCAATGCATTACTAATTTTTTCTATATATTTTTTCTATATATTTTATTTTGTGATTATTGTTTATAATTCTTTTATCTTTCATGTTAAATTCATTTTTAGATATTTATTGTTTAAAACTATTGTATATTGGATTGATTTCTTGATTTTTCACGTAGTTTCTTATTGGTATTTAGAAATACTAGCCACTCTTGCATATTCATCTTTTATCCACTAACATTATCAAGAGTACTTCATCTGTTCTTTTTCATTCAAAAGATTTCTGGTGGAGTGAGTAAGCTTTGCTCTATATAAGATCATATGGAATCTAAAAGGTGATAGTTTGACTTCTCCTTTTCCAATTTCAATGAACTTTCTTTCTTTGATTAATCATTCTGGGTTGAACTTCCAATATTATATTGGGTAAGAGTGGTGAAAGTGAACATCCTTTTTTCACTTCCAGACTTAGAGGAAAAAAATCGACTTTTTCCTATTCAATATCATGTTAACTGTGTGTTTTGAATATATAGCTTTAATTGTGTTGAGGTATGGTCCATGTACTTATAATGTACTTACAAGATTTATTGAAGTTTACTGAATTTTATTGAGTACCTTCAATTTCCATTTGTGACAGTTGTTATTTTTACATGTTAGTAGCCATTTTCACTTGTGTGAATTGCCTATCCATCTCCTTCATCTATTTGTATACATGACTATTCATATTTTTGTTTGGTGATTTGTAAGATTTGTAAGTACTTGATGAATACTAATCTTGGCCATATAACTGTGGTGAGCCGCTTCTGCCGTTTCTGCAGATTATGGTCGCCATTACAAGATGACGCTGGCTCCGCTGTGGTCTGTGACAAACAACTCCTTATCTGGGAAAGTTGGCACATGATTTTTCACCACCCTGTGAGAAAGCTCCACGCGGCAGCTTTGCATTGGGGCTTGGGATGCTTTATTAAGGCTGGGAGGGGCATCCAAGAGGGAGAAGAAGAAATATCAAGGGCCTGAATAAACTGCTGAAAGAAGATTCCTGAGTTGCGTCTTCCTTGCGGGCAAGGGGTCGCGACAAGTGGTGCCGAGACCCGGGAACCAGAACTTTCAGCAGTCAGAGGTGGTGCACCGGTTAGTCCCAGGTAAGTGGGATCCGCGACCAAAGCGGGGTTAGTCCCAATAAGTGGGATCCGCGATCAAAGCGGGGTTAGTCCCTAGTAAGTGGGATCCGCGACCAAAGCGGGACAGCTCCTCTGTAATGAAAGAGAGAGCCTTACATTTTATTGCAGCTGCACTGTGTACTTTCGCTCCTACTTTCGCTTTCTTTTTTTTGTGCTTCCTTTGTTGTTGTGTCATGGGTGCCGCATCTTCAAGTCCGCTTCTCCTGGCCCTAGATGGCCTGTTACGTTCCAAGGGACTGGAAGTGAAACATAGTATTTTACAGAGATTTTTACAGAAGATAGATATCGCTGCACCGTGGTTTGCATTTTCGGGCAGCCTTACTGTGCCTAGTTGGGATAAATTAGGCAAAGATCTTGACTTTGCTTCTGAGCAGGGCATATTAGAGGGTGGGGTGATACCCCTTTGGAAAATGGTCCGTGGTTGCCTTACAGATGGTAAATGCCAGGAAGCTGTGAGTGAGGGTCAAGCTATTCTTGAGCAACTGCATGAGGAAAAATCTGAAGGACCATGTAGTGGAGTGGCAGAGAGTATTAAAAGTAACAGTAGTGAGAAGGCAAAAGAGCCTGAAGATAAAAATAGGAGAAGGCTCTACCCAGACTTGACCGAATTAAAAACGCCTGAGAACACAAGCGACTCAGAGAGTTCTGAGGACCTTGATATATTGTTACAACAACTACATAAGATAAAAATGAAAAGGAAGAAAAAGGAGACACAGGGCACGCAGGCCTACTGTAAGAAGGGGAAGGGAGTTAACATTGGTCAACAAAACTCTGAGGAGGAGGAGGTAGAATATCTAGAAGAAGATATGGTGCCGATTGCCCCACCTCCGTATGTGGGGGGGGGCCAAGGTTCCGGGAGATCTTTTCATGCACAAGTTTGGAGGACAGTTAATACAGATATGGGACTTGCATACCCTGTATTTCAGGACAATAACAGGGGAAGATATCATGAGCCTTTAGACTTTAAGATAATTAAAACCTTGGCAGAATCTGTCCGCACTTATGGCATAGATGCCGCTTTCACTCTCACTCAGGTGGAGGGACTTACTAGATTTTGCATGACTCCCTCAGATTGGGCTAGTCTAGTCCGCGCTTGTGTTTCCCCAGGGAAATATTAGGAGTCCAAAGTTGGCTGTTTAATGTTTCTGGCAGTACCCAAGACTCGGAGCGAGGTAGGAGGCTTAAAATTTCTGCAAATAATTCACAATTATCTAATGCTACATTACCCTCCGCAGCAGTCCGTCTCCAATCTCCGTTCCTGTTTCTTTTGGCTAATGTTACATCACAGGGGATGCTTAATTGTTCTAATATTACCTGTTATTTGTCTGAGTGTTGGAATGGCTCCTGGACTACGGCAATGGTTATGAAATTTCCAACCTTTGTCCCGATCCCGGTTACTTCAGATCCAGAGTCATTTCCTATTGTTGAACTGATTAGAGCCCGTAGAGATTTTGGAATTACGGCAGCTATAGTGACAGCTGTGGCAGTGTCTGCTGCTGCAGCGGTTACAGGCGGAGTGGCCATGGCCAGTCAAGTACAAACTGCTGCCACCATTAATCAATCAATCAACATATTTTGTCAGGGATTTTAGCTGCCAACCAAAGGATAGATCTGCTTCAAGCTCAAGTTGAGGAATTGTCTGACCTAGTACATTTGGGTTGTATTGATCAACGTGCACATTTATGTATAACCTCTGTCAGATTTAATGATTCCAGAAATGCCTCCCGCATCATCGGAGAATATTCATCCGGAACCTGGTCCATGGAAGCAGAAAACATGATCCAGTCTCAACTAACTCAGATTGCTGTTTTGAACAGTACCCGTGTCGATCCCGTGACTTTGGGTCAGTTCACCGATTGGATATCTTCTGCTTTTTCCTTCTTCAAAGAGTGGGTGGGGGTAGGCATTTTTGGTGCAATGTGTTGCTTCAGTGTTGTACTTTGTTTGTGGCTTCTCTGTCGCCTTAAAACTCGCCATGCACAAGAAAAGGCTATGATCATACAAGCTCTTGCAGCTTTAGAAAATGGCAACTCGCCTCAAGTCTGGCTTGCGCATCTTAAGCAGTAAACCTTTGTCATGGTCGTTACACCCCAAGTTATTATAACATTGCACTGGGATCGACATGACTTTCCTTGTTATTCTCTTAGTGTTGGAAAGCCCTTGCACTCTGCCGGTCTTACTGCCATTGCACGCAGATGGGTTTCCACACTAGTGCTTTTCTATCGCCTTGAAGTTCGTGCCTTTCTTTCAGGGTGCTGTCAACTTGTTTGTCGTTATAAACAGCCACAGTTCAGCCTCAGCTATCCCCTTTCGTCCACCATCGTCACGATACAGGATGCGAGGCAAGGCACTGCACTTGAGTGATCCTTGATGTGGACCTCAAGGAGAGCATGTCCTATTGCATGCGGGTTAGACGCGTCCACGCCCCGCCCCACGAAAAAAGGCGTCGGCTGATATGGCCTCAGATCTGGGGAAGGGCCCTCCTTAGGACTGAGCCATACTATGCAGCCACTTCTGCACAGTGGGATAGGACCTCTACTCTTGCCTGTATTGTTTTAAGAAAACAGAAAGGGGGAACTGTGGTGAGCCGCTTCTGCCGTTTCTGCAGATTATGGTCGCCATTACAAGATGACGCTGGCTCCGCTGTGGTCTGTGACAAACAACTCCTTATCTGGGAAAGTTGGCACATGATTTTTCACCACCCTGTGAGAAAGCTCCACGCGGCAGCTTTGCATTGGGGCTTGGGATGCTTTATTAAGGCTGGGAGGGGCATCCAAGAGGGAGAAGAAGAAATATCAAGGGCCTGAATAAACTGCTGAAAGAAGATTCCTGAGTTGCGTCTTCCTTGCGGGCAAGGGGTCGCGACATATAACCAAAAGCAATATACAGATTCAGTGAAATCCCTATAAAAGTACCAAAAAATGGCATTCTTCACAGAACTAGAAAAAAGAGAGTCCTAAAATTTATTTGGCATTATCAAAGTCGTAGGATACCCAAAGTAATTCTGATCCCAGAAAGCAATGCTAAAAGCAACACAATGTCTGACTTCAAATTTTACTACAGAGCTATAGTAACAAAAACTGCACAGTATTAACATAAAACACATACACCATTGGTACGGAGATGAAGATACAGAGAAAACCACACATATGAACAGTCATCTAATTCTTGACAAAGGTGCCAAAACTATACATTGGAGAAAAGATTGCCTTTTCTACAAATTATGTTGGGAAAATGACTCATCATGTGTAGAAGAATGAAATTACACCCTTTTGTTCCACCCTACACAAAAATTAACCACAAGTGGATCAAAGACCTAGGTATTAGACCAGAAACTATGGAACTCCTTGAAGAAAATGAAGGCTCAACACTTCACCGTATAGGCATAGGGAACAACTTTCTCAATAGAAGCCCTAAAGCTCAGGAAATAATACCAAGAGTTAATAAATGGGAAGGTATCAAATTAGATAGCTTCTACACACAACAAAGGAAACCATTAGAATTGTGCAAAGAGAACCTAGAGAATAGGAAAAAATCTTTGCTAGCTCTCTTCTGACAAAGGATTAATATGTAAATGTAGAAATTACTCAACAAAATGTATGCTAAATAACCAAATTATTAAATCAGCAAATGAATTAAACATATACTTCTTAAGACATGTGCATGACTAACAACAATATGGAAAAAGAATGTTTGATGTCTTTAACCTTCATGGAAATGCAAAACAAAACTTTACTGAGATTACATTTCAAACAAGTCAGAATGGTAGTCTTCAATAATAAAAAGAATAACAAATACTGAATAAAATATGGAAAAAAGAAACACTGTTGATGGGATTGTCAACTAGTACAACCATATGGATGTCAATATGGAGGTTCCTCAAAGGCTAGGCATGAAACCATCATATTACCCAGCTATACAACTTCTTAATACTTACCCCCAAAGAATTAAAGTCATCTTATTACAGTGATACCTGGATACTCATATTTTAAGCAGCACAATTCACAATAGCCAAATTATATAACCAGCTTAGGTGCCTGCCAATGAATGAATAGATAAAGAAAATGTGGTATATATACATAATGAAGTGTGTTATTCAACCATAAATAATTATGTCATTTGCATGAAAATGGATGGAATTGGAGATAATTTTGTTAGACAAAATAAGTCAAACTCAGAAAATCAAGGGTTTTATGTTTTCTCTCATATGTGGAAGCTAGAGAGGAAAAGGAAAGACTGTTGTGAATCTCATGAAAATCAGTGGGAGATCAGGAGAGGGAAGGAACCAGAGGATCAGAGGAGAAAAGGGTGGTGGGAAATGCTGGGAAGTGATACTGGCCAACTTATATTGTCATATTGTGTCTTTGCGTACATGTACGAATATGTCATATTAAATGCTATCAGCTTGTATACTATAATGCATGAATAAAGAAGTGACAGAAAGATATAAAAATAGGTTTTAATATTTATTTTAATTAATAACATATAACAAAGATTGTTTCATGTGAGGCTTGGATGGTGGTCTTCATATCAAAAGGGAGAATTAACTGTTGTAGTTTGGGTGTGAGAGGTTCTCCAAAAGCTCATTTGAGAGACAATGTGAGATGGTTCAGAGGGGAAATGATTGGGCTGTGAGATCCTTAAGCCAATCAGTGAAATAATGACCTGATGGGATTGAAAGGTAATTGAAGGCAGGTGGTGTGTAGCTATAGGTGGCAGATAATGGTGGCCTGGCTTTGGGGTATATATTTTGTATGTAGCAAGTGGAGTCTCTCTCTCTCTCTCTGTGTCCTGGTCATGATGTGAGCTGCTTCCTTCCAGCACACTCTCCCAACAGGATGTTCTGCCTCACCTGGAGCACAGAAGAAATGAGCCAGTGAAAAAGCTGACTTAAAAAAATAACTATTCCTCAGTTTTGGTCCACTTTGATCGTAAAAATGTTCTGTGATGTTTTCCTTAAAGGACAGCCTTTGGACTACTTGTGGTTTTATTTATTTTCCACACAATTTATATAATTTTTATATTGTTTTCAGTGTTAGTAATTATTATAGTAGATAACAAGCTGAGATTTGAAGGAAAAGTATAAAGATTTTATTTTTCAGTCATTCCAAATGATTTAGATCCCTTTTTAGAGTTATGGGTGGGATGAGGCAATTAGCTACTGAGAAAAGAGAGAAAAAATTAGACAAGCTCTTCATAATTACAAATTATAGAACAGTAAACATAATTGCAAACTGTCTACAAAACTTAGTACATTTCACAATATAACTGTAACAAATGTAGGTAGCATTGTGTCCTATTTGAGGTGAGAGCAAGTTTCTTTCCTGTTCCTGTTTTGTATTAACACAACCTATAATTGAGACCTAGTATCTATGTCCAAAGTATGATTATGAGAATGGGCAACCAGTTGAATTTATTTGAAGGATTACAAGTAAATAATAATAAGCTACTGAAATCAAATATTTTCTTCAATAGCTCAACTGTAGAAAGCAGATAAAAATCATTATGTTTCTAATTCCATACACATTATATTGAGAAGTGACTTAGCTGAAACTAGGCAAACATACTTCCAGATGCTCAGAGAGAAGTTATGCTGAGGCTGGGTTTATAGTAAAATTCAGCAGAAATACTGGTTTCTGAAATCCAAGAGAAAGATTTAGTCTTTTTACACAATTGAAATTATTGAGTGTTTTCTTTAAGAAAGTTAAATGTACAAAATTCTGTACTACAATTAAGTTAAGGCAGGCTAAATATTTGAGAAACCATATTGATACTCTGAGTGAATCCTTACTGGTCTTATCTCAAAGAATAATTATAATTAAGCTCAATAGGTTTATTGGTATGAAGAATAAATTACACTATTAAATTTCTACATAGGTTCATATAGTTTTTTCTTCTCCAATGTTTGATATTTCTTTCACCTGAAATATTTATACTCCTTAACCAGGAATCAAAATTCTGGAAAAGAAATTTGAGTTAATTATGGTAGGTTGTGAAAATTTCTCACAACAGTAGGGAGTCTAGCATTGTAACAGGTTTTTGCTGGAATACACTAGAAGTCCATCTGTTAGGACTCCCAGGTTCAGGCTGAATAAACTTCTCCTTTTTTTTTTTTTTTTTGCTTCTTTCCTGGTTTAGCAAACATTTGGCAACAAAACAGACAGCATTTAGTGATGATGAACATCACATTTGCCACACAGGCCAGCAGAAACACAACCACATCTAAAGAGTAGTACTGGAACCAGGAGAGGTCATGAGCAACAACCAAAGGTATTTAGTTTCTTTGTGGCACATGACAAACTTGATCCAGATGATAGCTCAACTGGATGCTTATGATGAATTATTGATAATCTAACAGCATTCTCTTTATCTCTAAAGGAAAATCATAAGACACCAATTTTTAAAGTCAGTTAATTGGTTGAACTTTTCAAGTCTCTAAAATGTTCTTTGAGTTTACAAAAGTGGGTCAAATAAGTGCCATAGAACAGCCTTAAAAGTACTGTACTTTGAACTGTTGTCTTGGACAACTTGGCTTCTAAGTTGGAGGTTTATTTATTTCTTTACTTCCATTTCAAGTTCAAATGTAATTAAAACAAAAATTGTGCTTGAAAAGAGTGAATTCAAAGTAGTACAATCTCTTTAAGTTGGAGATTTCTGGTGCATAAACATTTCCAAAGTTAAAATGGAATGTCAAGTGGGAAGCTTAATCTTTTCTAGAGACCAAGTCGTAGTAAACCATTCTAAGAATGGTAAGTGAAATGGTTAAATGCTATTTGAAAATATCATCTTGACCTTTTTGAAGAGGCATTTTGTCAGGGTGGGTGAAATGACTTTTAACAATTATATTTTTTCTCTTCTCTTCTACCTTTTGCTAGAAAGATCATTTTTGATTAAACACATGTCAGCTTTGGATACTAGTGTGACTAAAGTTTCCACATGGATCCTCATGTATTTAGATTAATATCCAGATGTGGTTATTTTAGTTAAATATTTTTTGTTTGTTTCCTCACTTAAATCCTGTGTATCTGCACAATATATTATTTATGATTTCTACCTTTTCAAATCTACTAAGTTTTCTTGTCATAAATATACATTCATCACTTAGGTTACATTCATTACATTCTATCAGTCTAATGTGCACTTATATTTATTAATTTTTTATACAATTTATTTATTTATTTTTATGTGATGCTGAGGATCGAACCCAGGGTCTCATGCATGTGAGGCATACCACTGAGCTATAATCCTAGCCCATATTTATTAATTTTAAAATAATTTATATCTTATTGTAAAGGTATTCAATATCATTTTATTATGTCAATAAATTCTGTGTATTCTTTTTTTTTTTGTTCATTTAGACTTATTTAATTTGAAGTTTATTTAGTAGGTGCATAAAATTGAGAATGTTATGCTTTAAAATGACTTCAAATAATATTGTAAAAATATTAATATTTAATTTTATTTGTTATTTTGGAAAACAATGGTAGTATTATTGGAGGTAAAATTGCTTATTTTGGTTATGGGTTCAGTAGGACTTTTCTCACTTTTTCACTCACAGCCTTCCTGTATACTTAAATTCAGCATGTCTTATAAACAGGGTAGATAGTTAATTTTAAAAAATATGGTCTTACATTCTTTGTCTGATAGTAATTCCAGTTTTTATAATTAATGTAAACTGTAATATCTTCACAGTTGAATTCACCATTTTATTTTATATTCACTTACTGTTTTTCTCACCTGAATTATATTTCCATGCTATTGTTTTCTTGAATTTTAAAGTACTTTTCCACTGAAATTTATTACTATTTTTTGTTCATGCATTGTTAAAGTGTTCCTTTAGGAGATGACCTTCTTATACTGTAAGATTAGTGTAATAGTTGTAATGAATGTTGACTTGAATATAGATATACATGGCACAATGTACTTAACATTGTCACTTCCATTAGAATAAGGGAAATCTTGGTAACTAAAGAACTATTTAACTAAAATTAAATATTTACATGATTCAAAGTGCACTATGAAGAAATAAATCTGTGTATTCATAGTAGGTGAGTCTTTCATTCTGCAATGGAAAAATATTTGCAAATCAAGTATCTCACAATGGACTTTCATCCTGTGTCTTGCTTTGGAAAAACATTGGGAAGAAATGAAAAAGCAGTAAGTATTTTTACTAATTCTACTACCAGTTCTAAATTATCATAACTTATAATTGATATCTTACATCTCTTTCCAAAGACTGAATATGAGAATCAGTGTAACCAGATCATTACTTTTATGTGGTTAAAAGAAAACAGAATAAATGTGTAGGTAGGAAACAGTATATTTCGTATTTGACATACCTTTTTTGGAAATGACTTCAGCAAGAAGAAGATAAAAGTCTTATCAGGTCCTGAAGAGAAATGATGCTAAGGCTGGATGTACAAGCCAGCACTACCAGTCTACCAAAACAAAAGAGAAGGGTGAATCTTGACACACAATTTTAAGTATTGAATACCTTATTCAGAAAAAGTTAACACTACGAAACACTACACCCAAGTGAAATTAAATCATGATAAGTTTTAAAAGTGATTTTATAAGCAGAAGAGGAGGCTGGTTCACAATCTTTTCTTGTGAAATTGAACTAGAGGAGGTCCATCTGGCAGGACTCCCAGCTTTGGGTCTAGATGCAACTATGCCCTTTTCTTCTTCTTTCCTGTTTTAATAAACTTCTGGCAACAAAACAGACAGCATTTGGTGATGATAAATATCACAGTTGCCACACAGGCCAGCAGGAACCCAAGCACATCCAAAGAGTAGTACTGGAACCAGGAGAGGTCATGGGCAGCAACCCGGAGGTGTTTAGCTCCTTTGTGGCGCATGACAAACTCAATCCAGAAGACAGCTCGATCCAGAGGCTTCACTGGCTGTTCATGGTGAATTCTTGATAGCCTCATAGCATTCTCTTTATATCTAAAGGACAAACCATAAGACACCAACATTTAAAGCAACTTAATTTGCATAAGTATATTAAGTCTATGTAAGGTTTTTAAAAATGTTCATAAAACTGAATCTAAACAAGTGCCTTAGGTAGCCACAGAAGAGCCAGGTTGGTGACACAGGCCTGTATTCCTGATATTTGGAAGGATGAAGCAGAATAGTAAGTTCAAGGCTAAGTCTGGGCAAATTAGCAAGACATTGTCTCAAAATTCAACAAAGTGGGCTGATGATGTAGCTCAGTGGTAGAACATTTGCCTATCATGAACAATGCACCTGAGTTCAATTCTCAGTACTACACACAAATGCAAAGAATATCCATAGACTTTTGTTTTTGTTGCTGTTAAAGATGTTAGATCATCATAGAAAGTTTAACTTTTAATTTGGGATTTTCTTATGGGCAAATATTTTCCAAAAGAAAATGGAAGGTTGATTGCTTCAGATAAAATGATAATAAGCCATTCTAAGCACTATAAGATAGTTAATTGTAGTTAAATTATCATCTTGAAGTCTTTGAAGATAAATTGTCATAGTGGGTGAAATGACTTTTAATCAGTCTCTCTGTTTATAATCTTCTTTATTGCTCTCTACTGTCTAATTTCTACCTAGTATCCATTTCAGATTATAACACTTGTTCAAAGATTTTCACTCATAATCATATTTAGAATAACATCCAGATATACTCTTTGGAACTCTGTTAGACCAGGACACAAGAAAAGACTACTGACTCCAATTAAAATCAAATTAAAGTAAGCTTATTATTTCGACTGGCCGGGCTGCCTCTCCCACCAAAACCATGGGAACAAGACAGCCCCACAGCTTTCCTGCAGCCCAGACTTATAGCCCAGAAAGTTACAGAAGGGAGGTTACAGATAACAAAACTCTGAGGAGCATAACACAAAGGCTAGTTTACATTTTTGCTGGCCCCGACGTCAGAATTTATGATGGTCATTAGAGCCTCAGAGAGGGTCCTTATCTGGCCAGGGAAGGCCAAGATTTGTGAGGCGTCACTGAAGTTTCAGAGAGGGCTACTATCTGGTCAGAGAGAACCAGGCATGGGCGAGGTCAAGGCAGGCATTCCAAGCTAGTTCAGAATTTGCAGTAATTTATAGTAAAGCCGAATTTATCTTTTCATGGCTTTGGGGTGAGATGGCTCCCAACTTTAAGAAAAAATCAGGCTGGGTCTATCACTACTAGACCACAGAAGGTCATATACTAGAAATGTTCTCTCCTATCATTTTTCCTGTGCATATTAAGTTACAGACACAATTTTTTGTTTTCAGTTTTTCTCCTGAAGCCCTCAATGTCTATCTCAGTCCACCAACTTTTCTGCACCCATTCTTTCTGTCCCCTCTCCTTTGCCCCATCTCAAATTCTTGCACTCATCCCATGCCCCATTCATTTTGCATTAGCAATCAGTATCAGAGAAAACATTCAGGCCCTGTTTTTTTGGAATTTGTTTATTTTGCTTATCTTGATATTCTCAAACTCCATCCATTTACCTGCAAATCCCAAAATTTCAATCTTTTTTAATGCTAAGTAATATTCCATTGTGTATAATATTCCCCAGTTTTGTTATCCATCCATCTATTGAAGGGCATCTAGGTTGTTTCCACAGTTTGATTATTGTGAATTGTGCTGCTATAAACATTTAAGTGGCTTCATCACTGTAGTATGCTGTTTTTAAGTCCTTTGGGTATAGACCAAGGAGGGGGATAGCTGAGTCAAATGGTGGCTCCACTTCAAATTTTCCAAGGAATCTCCATACTGCTTCCCAGATTGTTTGCACAAATTTGCAGTCCCACCAGCAAAGTATGAGTGTGCCTTTTCCCTTACATCCTTGCCAATACTTACTGTTGCTTGTATTCTTAATAACTGCCTTTCTGAATGGCATGAGATTAAGTCTTAGAATAGTTTTGATTTGCATTCCTCTAATTCCTAGATATGTTGAACATTTTTTATGTATTTGTTGATCAATCATATATCTTATTCTGAGAAATCTCTGTTCAGCTCCCTAGCCCATTTATTGATTGGGTTGTTTGTTTGTTTGTTGGTGTTAAGCTTTTTGAGCTCTTTATATATCCTGGATATTGGTGCTCTATCCGTCTTGAGTGTGGCAAAAATTTGCTCCAAAATATAGGCTCTCTCTTCACTCATTAATTGTTTCTTTTCATAGAGAAGAAGTTTTTCAGTTTGAATCCATACTATTTATTGGTTCTTGATTTTATTTCTTGCACTTTAGGAGATTTGTTAAAGATGTCAGGGCCTAATCTGACATTATGATTTGGGCCTACATTTTCTTCTATTAGATATAGGGTCTCTGGTCTAATTCTGAGATACTTGATCCACTTTGAGTTGAGTTTTGTGCATGGTGAGAGGGGTTTAGTTTTAGTTTACTGCATATATATTTCCAGTTTTCCTAGCACCATTTGTTGGAGAGGCTATCTATTTTCCTATGTTTGTTTTTGGCACCTTTGTCTAGAGTGAGATAACTGTGTTTATGTGGGTTTGTCTCTGTGTCTTCTATCTGTACCATTCGTCTACATGTCTATTCTGGTGCCAATATCATGCCTTTTTGTTACTATAGCTTTGTAGTATAGTTTAAGGTGTGGTATTGGGATTCCTCCTGCTTCACTCTTCTTACTAAAGATTGCTTTGGCTATTCTGGACCTTTCATTTTTCCAAATAAATTTCATGATTGCTTTTTATATTTCTATGAAGAATGTCATTGGGATTTTAATTGGAATTGCATTAAATCTGTATGATGCTTTCGGTAGTATGGCCATTTTGACAATATTAATTAATATACATATTATTTTAAATATTCATATAGTTCCATTGCTTATATGCATGGGAGTGGTATTGGTGATATAAAAATGCAAGTATAATTGTGATTTCTTTATGGAATCTAAATTACTTAGACGTATATTACTTAGTTTTCAAAACCTAGAGGGTTTTTAGTTAATTTTTTATTTATTATTTGTAGTTAATTTTTTCTCTAATTTTTTTTTCTGATTTAAGTCCAATATGACTGGAAAATGTATTCTTTAGATTCAAATCATTTCTGGGCAGTTTTATGGCATACCCAAATATATCAGGTTCTTCAAATATGAATATTATTTTCCATCATTTTCTGTTATCGATAAAAGTTTTTAAAAACTTCGCATTATGACTATAGACCTGTGCACTTACATTTTATATTTTTATGTAAAATTTCATTAATAGGTCTATTTTATATTGAATGACTTCTAAATGAAGAAATATTCTTTTCATATTTAGTTTTGTCTACTCTCTATGACAGTAATATAGCTACAACAGCTTATTTATTTATTTTGTGTTAGTAATGATTGAACTCAGGGGCCATCCACTACTCTAATCCTTCTTATATTTTACTTTGAGATAGGGTCTCTTTAAGTTGCTGAGGCTTGCCTTGAGCTCACAATCATGTCTCTGCTTCAGAAATTACTGAGTTACAGGCTTGCACCACCATGCCCAGCTGCAACACCTTGATTGACACTTAAAATCTTTTATCTCTTTACTCATAGAATTTCTATGTAATTAAGTTAAACATATCTCAGAAAAAGAGTATATGACGGGTTTTTAAAATCCAATTTGATTATCTTTTAATGATATAGTTAATATTACGATAGATATTGATATATTACTATATAAATCTACCAACTTATTCCATATTTTCTTTACCATTTTCCTTGCATTATGTTTTTTTATTCCTTCTCATCTAATTTTAAAGTATTTTAGCATTCAAAATTGTAACAAATTTTTTTTTTGGTAATCCATTGTCAAAGTATTCCGATAGGTCATACCTTCCGTAAATAATGAGTATTGGTAGTCATGATCAATGCTGACTTGATGGTAGAAATCTAAGCACTATACATTTTACAGAACAATTTTTGTTGTATCAAGAGAAAATTTGATTATAAAAGATATTTTATAGAAATTGAAATTATTTGCTTTCCAAAGTACACCATTATAAAAATGATGAACTCATCCATTCAGAATAGAATAAAATACATACAAATCAAATATCTCAATATAAATGTGTCTCCATAATAAAAACTACTGACAGTTCAATTTTAAGACAAGTACCTAATTAACAAAGGATTTAAAGACTTGGATAATTATTTGTACAGAGAATAAACATGATTATCTAGTATGCATGTGAACAACAATTCATCATTTTAAACAACCTGTGGAGTGCAAATCAAGGTCACAATTAGTTGCCACTTCATAACCACTAGGATTGGCATTATAAAAAGAAGACAGAAGATAGCAACTTTTAGCAGTGATGTGGAAAAGTTAGAACTCTCCTATACTACTTCTAGGAATGTAAAATCTTGCCAATTATTTGGCAAACAGAATGGAATTTAATTACTAACATGAAGTTCTCATGTGAGGGAGTAATGCCACTCTTTGGCACTACATAAAAGAAATGAAAAAAAAAAAAAAACTTTTTCCACACAAAACTAACCATGTTCAAATATTTGAAATTAAAAAAAAGCCCAAATGTCCATGATGTAACAAATAGTTAAATAAAATGTGTTATATACATCCACACCAAAGAATACTATTCAGCAATAAGTAGAAATCACATAGCTCTACTTGTTTAAACATGGACAAAATTAAAAAAAAACAATATAGTAAGTAAAACAACAGAGTTGGAGCTGACTACCATTGTATGTCTGGTTGTATTTGTATGAAATGTGCATCTAAGGCTAGTTTTTAGAGACTGAATGTATAATTAGTTGTGGCGAAGAGCTGGAGGTTAAAAGAGATTTATTTGAAAGATATATGAGATTTCTTTTTGGTACAACAAAAATGTTATAAAATTATCTCTTGAAGAAGAATTCTGAACTATGTGAACATAACCCAAATTATTTGACTTTTACAGCTCAAACAAGAAATTTATGGTATATAAGTTATATATAATAGAATCTGTTAAAGTAAAAATCAATTTTGGAGAAAAATTTATATTTTCAGTAGAGGGGAACACTTGAAGAAATCAGTATAGTCAATGACTTTTTTTTTTTTTTTTTTAGCTGAGACTCCAATGCACATGCAACAAAAGGAAAAAGGACAATTAGGATTATGTTAAATTGAGAAGCTTTTGCACTGCAAAGTTAACACCAAGAGAGTAAACAGAAAACATGCACAATTGAGAGGTAATACTTGTTAGATGAATATCTAGAATATGTGAGGAATTCTAAAAACTCAGCAGCAAAAATCAAAATTATTGCTGTAAAAAGCAGAAAATGATCAGAATAGACCTTTTGATTTCAAAAGAAGATATTGTATATGACAAAGTGCTCAACTTTATTAATCATGCAATGAGATGTAAATCAAACAACAATCAATCCACAATGTTGATTTCAGAACTCTTTTGTAGTTTTCTACTCAAACTTTGAAAAACACCCATCTTCAGCATGCCAAAAAAGAGCAGCAGCAGCAACAACAACAACAAAAATGAGAGATAATCTCATTGAATTGAATGGTCATAATCTAAAAGTGAAAAAATAACAAATGCTGTTGAGGTAGAAGAGGACGGGGACCTCTTATAGTCCACTGAGAATAATGCAAATTTGTATGGCCACTATGGAAAAAAAGAACATGGAGTCTCCTTAAATAATGCAAATAGAACTACCATAGGATTCAGCTTTCGAATTACTGTATACTAACACAATGAAAACGAAATCAGTTTATCAAATAGGTCCTGAACTTCCATGTTTACCTGCATCACTATTCACAATAGTAAAGCTATAAATCTACTGAGGTGTTCATTGTTAGATGATGGCTAAAGCAAACATGGAAATACACACACTCGCACGCGCGCGCACACACACACACACACACACACACACACCCCTGGCTTTTATTCAGCCATGAAAAAGAATGAAATATTGTCATTTCTACTTACAAGGATTGAAGTGGAAGTAATTATGCTAAATCATATATACTGGCACCAAAAGAAAAATACTGCATTTTCTCATTCTCATGTGGAATCTAAAAAGCTGACTTAATAGAAGTACATTATTGAAAAGGAGTAATTAGAGGCTGGGAATTGTAGGAGCAAGGGGGTCAAAAGAGAAGTTGAAAAACACAGAACACGCTACAGTTAGATAGAAGGAATAAGTGCTACTGGTATGTAGCACAATAGGTTTACTATTGTTTATAATTTTTTATATATATATATATATATTATAAAGAATTAGAGGATAAGAGTTTGACAGTTCCTAGCAGAAAACATTATGAATATTTAAGAATATGGAAATAAAAATTTTCCTGATTAGGTCATTGCATTTTATATACATGTATCAAATTATTCTGCCATACCAAATAAGTGTACATAATTTTTAAAAAAATGTTGGCAGTTTTGGAAATTTTAGGTATCAAATGGAAATATATTATTTCTTCAACTGCATTGTCCTTCTGTTCTCTTGTCATATTAGTAAAACCTGTGTTCTTTATATTTAGCTTTATAGTAAAAAATTTTTAGTATCACATTATTTTACTAATAACTAGTACTGCTAATTAAGTAAATTTGTAAGGCTAATTTGCAATGTAAAAGTGATTGGTTGAGAATAAAAGCACATTTCAAAGAGTTCAATAATTTTAGTTATTAACATTAGACTCAAAGAGGAATAAATCTTTTCTCATTTTCAAGGGTACCTAAATATAAATATTACTTTACTGAAAAATTTGTTATACTTACGAAGGTTCATTAATGACTGTATTCAATGCACTGAGTAAATCCATACTTGACATTGTAATAAAATTCAGTCTAAGAGCTGCTCCTTTGGCTTTCATGTGCATGACATTATCAGGTTGATCCGCAAACAAGGGAATGCCCACCAGAGGGATCCCATGATAGATGGCCTCATAGATGCCATTGGTTCCACCATGAGTTATAAAAGCTTTGGTTTTTGGATGACCTAGAATTGAAACAAATGAAGGGAAATTATTCATGTCAGAAATAAATTGTCAAATATGTAATGTAAAGCAATGAAGATAAATTGTTTTCTAGGTAATAGATTCTTGTAATGATGAATTCATATCACAATTACTTTCAATTCTTGGGGCAAGAGGCACCTGTGTGCACTGGTGAAGTAAGTGAAGATTACATGGAAGAGTAGGTATGTTACCTGAGATCTGAAAAATGAAAACAAGGTTGCTATCTAGACAAATGGAAGGAGGACATACTGGGTAGAACAACCAACCTGTGCAAACATAAGAGGGGACCTGGATTTATGTGTTCAATTAAAACAACAATGATGTCCCTGAGCATGCTATGAAGGGTGTCCAATGCAGCAGGGAGTGGGTTGTTGATGGTTATGAAACCAGAGGTAGGATTGGCTATACTTCATTAGGAAGTACAACTTCAGGATTAAGATCTTAAACTTGATTGAGAAGTGTTTTTCAGTAGAGAAAGAGGATAATCAGAATGTTGTGCCAGAAACTACCTCTGAAGGCTGTACTTTCCAAGTTCAGGACAGCACTCCTGGGACTTTTAACTTATATGCTACACAGCTGAGGCATAAAGTTTATTGTGTAGTATGTTTGGAATAAATTTGTCTTACTGTTTTTCTGCTAAAACTCTTTGTAAATGTGGTTTGTCATTATAGCACTTTTTACAACCCAACTGTACTAGAACAGTTCCAAACTGTATATATGTATAAAGATTGTCTTCTAAATGGTTTTCCTATTACTAAGTAAAATTTCATATTTTAAAGTGTCCTGTAAATAAGGATTAAATTCTATCCTTTTCCTAAAAAAATTTTTTAAGGATTATGGATTTTTTTTTTTAGGATATGGAACATGCAGAGTCAGTTGTAATAACAGAGAGAGGGCTGTTTTGTATCGGCATTTCAGATAGCACTATTTTATGTCAAAGGGTAGGTGTAAAGTTGTAGAAATAGGAGATAAGGGACAATCCAGGAAGTGACCAAAAAATTCTTTGTGAGAGGTAATTACCCCTAAAATAAGGATACTTGGACTATGAACACAAACAATATGACTTTGTATAATAAAATGCCCACAGTTGTTCTTTATTCACTTTCTCCCTAGGACTAAAAAGAGAACTTTAAAAATCAGATTATTTTGAAATTTTCTTAATAAATTTTCAAAACCTTTTTAAATTTTTATTTTTCTAATTGGCTATTAATCATATTTTTGAGATTTATTCTGAGTCTTACCAAGAAGGTCATTCTGAGGAATCCATTTGTAAAGTCGAGTATTGGGTCCTAAGGTAGCTGGTTTCTTGCCATCATATCTCCATATGACCTGTTAGGGTAAAGCAAGCCTCTTATTAGTTGAGTTAAATGTCAAATTATAGGATATTAAAATTTGAAAGTGATTAAGAAAGAAATCACATACTTAAATACCTATCCTATGCAAGATAAAGAAATGAGAAAACAACAAATAATAATAACTATTGAAATAGGTATAGAGACATAATTTTCCTGTATTCATTTTTATATTTAATTAAGTTAATATAAATAGTAGCTTCATATAAGTAGTAGCTTAGACAAATGAGTTTATCAATATCAAATACAAATATTTAAGAAATTGATAATTATAGATCTATAGCATAAGGTGTAAAAAATTACTATTTACATTCATTTTGTTTTAGAAATCTGTATTTTATACTAATTCATATCTACTAAATTTAATATTAACCTTTGTTTTGATATACGAAGATTACTATAACCACTTTCTCCATGGGTTACTAGTGTTTTGTCCTTGTAGGGTCACAGTTTCTAATTCACAGGATTCCATCTCCACCTTTTTTCTTACATCTTCCTTCTTGAGTAATTAATAGGACCATGTCCACCATGACAAACTAAGTATCCTTGTTTTGATGGATACCTGCACTCAGGGTTGGTGAGCCTGGCCTTCCTTTCTCTAACTAGCAGCACAAAAAATCATCATAATTAGGCCCCTTCTAACATTTAGGGGGAGTATCAAGGCCAGGATTATATAGGATGATGATGCTGTATGATGCTATTCAGACTTTTTATTGCCTGCTATTGCTATTGCACTGATGGAATCACTGACTAATATTTAACTCCATGCTTCTTATATCTGTAGTGTGCACAGTGTCTTCAGGAGTTCTGCAAGCAAAACAAGGAAATGAAAGAGCAGAATTTGGAGATTACTGTGTATCTGCATATAATACTTTTTTAATACCAAGTTCATAAGGCACCTGAATAATGTATTTCATTCTGAGCACAATGTTAATATCAAAGTATTATTAATCAAAAATATCCTTTGTGCTATTTCAGAATTTGCTGTATATATTTTTGTTTTAAATGTATTTTTTTAGATAAATTTTCACTATAATGACATTTAATCTTTCACAGAGAAAATATATGTAATTATATCCTTTACAAGGTTTAAGATAACTAAATAGGTACTTATTTAGTACTTATCTACCATTAGGGCACTTTATCTAACCTTTTGTGGAATCTGGGCAAGGGCTGATGCAATCACATTGGCCCTTTCTTCGGTCATGTTATTGACCATTGACCCCAGAGAAAACACCACAACACCATTCTCTCCAGAGCTCTGGACAAAGTCTTCCATTTCCTGTAAAGGAAAGAATTTGTTCCATTACAAAAGAGAAAAGACAGAACACAGAGTATTATAAGGTTTGGTACAATCATTTAAGGAAATAAATCAAGTATTTATAGAAATTATGTTGGGTTGTTTTAAAAATTAAGTTATAATATATGGTTATAACCATTTCTAAAGGTATAAAATTCTGTAGTATTACACATGCATATATTTCACATTTTTTATGCAAACAATATCCAGAACATTTTTATCTTTTACACAGGAAATCTGTATAAGTTAAGCAAGAACTCCCCTGGTCCATTGTTTACCTTACTTCTACTTTCTGCTTCTCTGAAATTGACTAGTCATGTATTCCTGCAAGTGGATTCATAGTAATTTCTTTTTTCTTTGAAAGACTTATATTACTTAGTGTAATGTTTTTTAGTATTATAGCATCTATCCCAATTCCCTAATGTTTTTAAGGTTTAGTGATATTTATGTACATTTTATCAAAAAATTCATTAACATCTACCTAGGTAATTTCCACCTCTTCATTTCCAGGAATGGAGTTTTATAATTGACCTTGGGCCAAAACCTTGTGAAGATCCTTCAATCAATTCTTCTACAATCTAGCCAGAAGTGGAACTGGTAAAACCATTCAGTATTGGCGTGTGTGTGTGTGTGTGTGTATCTGTGTGTGTTGCCAGAAGTTGAATCTAGGGCCTTATACATGCCAATCAAGTGCTTTACTAGTGAGCTACATCCCCAACCCATGTTATCCTTCTTTTTAAAAACGTAATCGCTTAGTTTAGTTGGAGATTTCTTATATGAAATACATTTCCTTTATTATGCATAAATGCACGTGTATGCATCTCTCTCTGTCTCTGTGTGTGTGTACATGTGTGTGTATGTATATGTGTGTGCGTGTGTGTGTGTTTAAGCAAAAAATGAAATAGTCACTATAGACTAGTGAGAATGTTTTTTTTCTCCTTGACCAAATGTTTGTTGTCCTATCTAAAATTGCATCTCCTATAAAAGCTGGCTTTTGTGTTTCCTCTTTGCATTTAGTATTTGGGTATTCTTCTTTGTATTGTCAAGAACCCTCTAAATTTGAGTCTTGTTAAATTAGCTAACTAGAATCTGCCAACACTGATATCTAATATCTTACATCTGATTTAAGATATTTTCAGGTCTCTCAAACTCCTCCTTCCCCAGATATCCCACTGACCTGCCTTCAGCAACTATCTTGTTAGGTTAGTTTGGCCAGAATCCCTGCAGCCCCTTATGTTTTATCTTAATAACTTTCTATCCACTGATCCTCACCTTACACCTTTACTTCAAATCTATCTTTTTCCCTGTGTTCATAACTGGACTTAATTTATCTCCCTTTTCTACAAAATTCAATTGCAGTGGTGTCTGCACATACTGTGTAGATGCAAAATGCAGTCCGCCTTACTGTGCTTAATGTTTATCATTAATTTTTTTTCTTTAACCCCCAGAGAGGGTCATATTCATCTCCAAACTGCTTAATCTTTCATTTAGGATTGTAAGTGTGCATCTTTAAAGCCTGTGCCTTCACTCCTCACTAGTTGATTGGCTACCTATTGGGGAGTAAAACTCCTGAAACTTTGTCCTGAAGAAACATCTGCTGACATTGGTAAGGGCAGATCATGTTTTTCAAGAACCTCACTATTCTCTGTAAGCTGATCTAAAGTCCAAGAAATTGGAGGCTATGCTAGTCTCCTAGGAGTCTCAATTTTAAGGGGCATGATTAGAGTTCTAGGCAAGCAAAAGCTGTTTACAGTGACAGGCATCTTTGATGGAAAGATAGCTGGGTACCTTACTGGCTGTCTCTCTGGAGTGGAGATAATTCCCTGACATCTGGGCTCTAAAATTCCTTTTTGCTTGGCTAGTCCTGAGGCCTATTTATTAATTTTCCCATGGGAACACATCAATCAAATGAAAGCTCTTTTCAAGACCCTGCCAACTTTGTGTTCTGACAGCTGTCTCTGCTTTCTTTCTTGTTGGTATAATTTCAGAACAGATATTTTGGATCTTTAAGGTTACTTAGGGAAACTTTAGACATCCCCAAACATGCTCCTTGGTGGACTCTCCCTTTCCATCTCCTGTTTCTTCTTCCTTTAACATGTCACTGTTCTCCTCAGGCCCCTGCACCCTTTGCTATGTCTCCTTCTAGGTCCTACCTCCTCCCTCCATCTGTGCCCAGAGCTGCACTTTTCACTTCCCTCTTTAGTGACTCTGTTCCTGCAGTGACAGTCACTTGTACCTCTGCCTCAAGCAAGGGCTCTCAAGGAACTCAGGATCCTCCAAAGCAACTACTTGAGGTTGAAAGAGAAAAGGCTAATTAGACATAAACTGAATATGTTGTCCAAGTGATGGGCTTCAAAGACATTTAGAGGGGCACAAGATGTCTTGTCTCCCTCACATAAAATGAAGACTCCCTTAAAAGCCTTCTTCACACATATTTTAATTCCAAGAATCTTTACTCCATATTGAATATATAATCTTACCTTGTTGCATTTTTATCAGAAACACAATTTAGATGAAATATTATATGGAGATAATAGCAGTAAGTTTTGTATTACAGTGTTGCCCGATTCATGCCTAAAATTTTAGAATGGAAGCTGGAGATCTGTGTGTCTGCATGTTTATGCCTGTATGTGTGTATGAATGTGTGTATGTGTTACATGTTACATATATATGATATTTTCTCAGCTCTAGATGATATGCCTAATGAAAAATATAAAATCTCTGAATAGCTTTCTATTCCAACTCACTGTGAGATAAATGAGCACTTACATAAATTACACATACCTAAAATTACCAGAAATGTAGAAAAAATCAAATACTTTCAATATTCACATGGCTTAGTAAGTCTTTGGAAAATATGACTAGTTTGATGTTATTGGTTTACTAAAAACAGATGTGTGACTCGTTTTTCATCATAGGTATAATATGAGCTTATATTTTTATTTTACCTGGGTCTACCAGTCACCTATGGTTACAATTAGTTAACAAGGAAATAATTTGAGATGAGGTCTAGTATTTTTGCTGTTAAGTGTGAAAAGTATGTCTTCCTAAAACCAGTTTCCAAAATCTTTTTGTTAATTTGATACCTTAGTTATATACTAAGTTAAATTAAGGGATATTTGTTTATTAGATGTGTATCCCATTTCTACATAAGACTGAAACATTAATTTTTACATGTGGCTTTTTTATTATTATTATTCAACTTCTTTTTTTTATTATTATTTTTTTAATTTTATTTTTTTCATATTTTTAATTTTTTATTGTGGGTTGTTCAAAACATTACAAATTTCTTGACATATCATATTCCACACTTTGATTCAAGTGGGTTATGAACTCCCACCTTCACCCCATACACAGATACATGTGGCTTTTAAGCATAATTATATTTGTGTCTGTTAAGAAAGATAAAGAATTATTGAATGATATAACAGTCCTATTAGAAAACGTGTCACTAAAACATTTGCTTGTCAAATTGACTTTCATCACATCTTTAACTACTGCAGTTTGATGAGCCTGCCTAAAGTAGACATGGAAATGAATGATCTGATAAAGAATGATTATAATATTTTTAACATTAAGTTTGAGATTTTGTTGGAATTTGATGTTTTGTTTTCATGATTCAAGGCACCGTTTTTTCTTTTCCTGTACAGTATTTTCCCACATAACAAATTTGTAGTTTATACTTTTTTATAGAACTTAATCATTTATTGGCTTCCCTTTTTCTAATCTCTACAGAATTTGGAAACAACATACTAGATGCTCTTGCCATTAGAAGTTTAACTCTGTTTCCTAACTTGGCTTCCCAGGTTTCCCACCTCAGGAGGCTTTTAGAAGTCTATCTGAGATTTCTTTTGGAAAGATCTGGCAAAGCAAACCTCAAAAGCCTTATGATCAATTTCCATTCTTGCTTCGTTAGTGAAAATAATCCACCCAATACAATGAAATTAAACATATTTGGTCAGGAAGAATTACCTTACTTTACCTATCATTTTTCAGAAATGGAGTTGAGTGGTTGTAGGTAAATTTCATGTCACAGAGGAATATCATGACACACTATTTTGTGTTATTTTAACCTGTAAATTGGACAGTGTCATGTTGTGTCCATCCTCACTAAATTTTCAATTCTAGGTTCCTCATCAAACTAAAGTATTCATTGTTTCTGCTGTCTTCCCGGTGTAGACTACCAGGAGCAAAATTCTGACTTTTATTTTGTGACTCTCTAAAGATTTCCCACAAGTCGAAGCTGGGAGGTTTCATGCTTTGTTCTAAGAAATCATCACAACTGTGACCTTGATATCTGTGCCATCACTAAAAGCACTTAAATTGCACATCAGGAAATTTGTCAGTTGTGATGTCTGAGTACTATTTTCTGTCTTCAGCAAGGATTATTGTTTTGACCTAAATTTCCTTGACTTCTGATGTTTGTTCTTAGTAATCTTTCATCCACTGACCGTCACCCTGCACTTACGCTGAACTTCATGTTTCTCGTTATTTTTCTGGACATCCTCTCTTTCCTCCTGTATTAACACTGTCATTTCCATTTAACACAAATGGAGAAATCTTTTAAAAATAGGATTGAACTACCCAGAACTTTCATTACTCTTAGGTCTGATTTTGGAATTGAATTGCAACATGTAGCCTCAAAGTTTGGCTTTAAGTACCTATATTTGGATTTTAAATGTTCAATGAGATCAGATACAATGGTACTGCTAATAAAAGAGTAGACAAAAAGAATCTCTTAAGTGATCGCTTAATAGTGAAATAAATGATTGCTGTTTAATGTAACAGCTCTGTGTTTGGGATTGTATAGGGATTCTGGCCCTGAAAATGTAAAGAGCAGCATTCCCATGGTGAGAAAGCACAAGGGGGAAGTGGGATAGCAGGCACTCTGCTTCCCACCCTTAGAATGCCCAATAATTTTTCTGAGGATTTAATAATACAGCTAATTTATATGCTATGTCCAGCTTGTGTGGCAATGCCCTGAGACCTCTGTGTTAGACCCTCATCAAGCCTCAACCTTGATTGCAGGCACATACTCCTGGGAATAGAAAAACTTGTTTGATAGATAACTACAACGTTTCATCAAGCTTCTGTGCCCTTGGAGCTGCCCGCCTAACATTCAGACAGTGGCTTTTCTTGAGAACTGCACAAAGCTCCTAACACTGCTTATTGCAATTGTGAAATGTTACTGCAGAATAAGCAACCTTACTGATACTCTAAACAATAATGTGGTTATGGTACTAATGACCTGATGTAACCTATTGGTATAAATAAATGTGGCCACTTGGACACACCACCTTCCCTGCTTCTGCACTTTGACTCTGTCTCCTCTTTATTATTATTCCTTACAGGATTGGGTCTCTGATGGCTTTATGACTTTGGCATGCTTGGTGGCTAGGAAGTTTCTGTGCAAAGACACAGAATGCCTAGCTGCTGTATCAATGACCTGCATGAGGAGTCTCTGTGGTAGAGTCTTACCATTCTCAATTTTCATCTTAGGCACATAGCTCATGGGAATAAAGAAATTCTCTTGTTAAACAACCACAATGTTTCACCAAACTCTGCTGCCTGAACCTGCCCACATAATAGTAACTTTAAACAATGGATTTTCTTGAGAGCTATACAAAGCTGCTAACATTGTACACTGCAACTATAGTGTGTAACTGAGAAAAAAGCTGCATAATGTTGCTAACTCTGTATCCTGCCTAATGACACAATGAACAATAATGTATTACTGATGCCAGTGACCTAATGTAACCTATTGATATAAATAAAGCTGGCAACTTGGCCATTCTGCCTCTGCATCTTGTCTCTGTTTCTCTTTTTATTATCGTTCCAGTTTGTTGGAATGATAAAAGTGCAATATTTGTTAAAAAAAATACATCAGATTCTTATGGTTTTTCATAAGCAGTATTATTCTAAATACTTACCGAATTATTTTATAATTAAAAGCTAAAAGCATCCTACAGATACAAGAGGTACAAGTTAATATTTATTCTTCAAATATGCAAAATTTATGGTCATTGATAACTCTGCAGTATATCTCTCTGTCTTTTTCTGTAAGACAACTAAAGTGTGGTGACCCACTTTGCCACAGGGAGTTTTCCTGAGGTTCCCCGATAGCCTTGGGTAGACAGGAAATGCCTGTGGTCCTTCCCTATTATAATATTTCTCACAAAATTTCTCTTTCGTGTTCACAGTCTGTCTTTCAATGTAGAATGTAAGGTATTTGGGAGAAGATACTCTGTTACTTTGTTTCTCTGCATATAAAGAATTTTCCTATGGTACATGCTAGTCATTTCTTTGAATTAATGACTGATATTGTCTTGTATGTTGAGAAATAAAGACCTCAATTTAACTGAAGCTTTGTGTAGCTCTCAAAAGTCCCTAGGTTTTGCTTTTCTACTATTAAAAAAATAAAATTTACATAGTTATGTGAATATGCATAGACATGTAAGAATTTCTATCTACAGATCTCTTTTGTCCCATTTCCTATAACTTTTTTTTTTTTTTTTCACAGTGAATGAGACATTCTGAGTGAGAACAGAGAATCATTCTTGGTGAAAATGCAAGGACAACAGAACCAACTAAATGGGAATAGGTTTACCTTAGGCAGAGGTTTGGCAGGTCTGCAGTGGAGTCCTCCAACGAAATCAACATTTGGTAGGGTTGGGCGAGGAAATTCCAAATCCCAATAGGTTCTAATGAGCCAGATATCTGCTTTTGACATTGTCTCTAGTAATGTAGTGGGTCGTCCTGAACAGGAAAAGGAATACAAAAGCTATAGGACATTAGAAAGTTATCATGTGGAAATGAATATGTCTGGTAAGTATCTGAAAAAGCTTTTAATAATGAAGCCAAACATGTTTAAGAGTTTCTGTGATTTAATAAAGCTAATGTGTGTATGCATATGTGCATATATAAAAAACATATATGTTGCTCATATTTATGTGGACATACTTGAAAGACACAATGTGAGAGATGAATTAAGTGACAAAATATTTGAATTTATAAATGTGGAAACTAATCTACAGATACATAGCTGATTTACTCAAAGCTACATAGATAATTGTTCTAGAAATATTTGTAGGAGTCATCAAACTACATTCTAGACTCATGAAGACATTGAGTAACATTAAAAATTATTGCTTTTGAAAATGAAATAAATGGATACTAAAAGGATAAATGTGTGTGACTTCCTAGGGAAGTCCTCAGTGGCTTATTTTGTGTGTGTGACTTCCTGCTGTATCCAAACATTTCAAACTAACTTTACAACTGAAGCTTTTCCATAGTGTTTTGAGTATGATGTATTATTGTGATAAAATATTTTTTATTTTATCACCACACATTTAAAAGATCAACTTCTCTGACTTCATACTCCTGCAGGCTCACCCTCAGAGACATGACTAATTTTGGAATTTTCATGCCATTAGAAAATAGGCTTACCTAAAATTTCACTGTAAAACTGATTCCACTTCTTCTCATCAAATGTTTGGAACCAAAAATCAAAATACAGCACATACAGCATATTTTTTATCCGCTCCATGAAAGTCATTTGATCACTTAATTCTGACATAAGAATAGGCACATAGGAAGGAGGGAATGAAAGTCCTGCACTATATTTTTCATACGTGTATCCAGACAAAAAGCGAAGAGTATACACAAATGGTATTTTAAATAGCTCAGCCAGCAGCTCACCACAGGGACCAAATGCATCTGCAAGAATGACATCAAACTTGGATTCACGTAGTTTTGTCATAAGATTCTTGTTAAAAACTACCTCTTTACAGAGTGTCATAAAGTATTCAGAATCTTCCCACACCAGGTCTTGCAACAGTGAAAAGTATGTCCAAATCGATTCTTCTGGCAGCTCATAAATCAACTTCCTGATTGCTTCAATGTAAAAATCTTCCATGTCAGTTTTAGACATTGCTGAAGGGTAAGTCTCAAATTTAATAGCAGATCCTTCTTCAACATAAAAAGAAACGGAAGCTGAGGATTTCAGAACAGTCACTTCGTGACCTTTCTGAACTAGTTCATCCAATATTGTCTTTATATTGATCCAATGGCTGTATTCCATTGGCCACACAAGCACCTTCCCACAACTTCCAGAACTAAAGTGACTACTCAGCTGTAACAGGAACAGAACTGCAGTCATTTTTGTAGACATCCTGGTGAGATGCAAGGCTTCCTTTCACACTGGATTCCCTCTGCTCTTGTTGATATCCAAGCAGAAATCATTAGTTAAAATATAACTTGTACACACCTAAGTAAATACATACACTAATAGACAGAGTGTCTGACTGCCAAGTGGGAAAAGCAAATGGTAGATGACCTCATGTCCATATGAAAATGTGCCATAATTCCTTTCTGTGTTCTTTCCTGTAGTTAAGAGTTGATGACCTTACATGTATATGTCTCTTATGTTATACTTGATGTTTTCGAATAATGTCAAGAACAGTGGCATGTGACGTATTACTTTTGTTTGCAGCTTCTTTGTACAGAAGCAGAAATATAGTCATAATCCTGGTGAATCAACATTTAAGGATAACTTCCTTCAATGAATTTTTTTTTGGGGGGAAGTGTCAATTTTGTTTTCTTGTAAATCACGTATCATACAATGCAGCAATAAACATAAAGCTCAGTGGTACATAGTACAATCTCAGAATTGTAAAACCATGACTGCAATCAAGTTTAAGGAATTTTAGTAACCTGAAAATAAGCCCTATGCCTCTACTTACTCTCTTTGCTACACTCCTAAGAATGTCTAATATACTTTGTCTCTTTATATCACTTTGTAGGGACTAGTATAAAAGCTACTAGGTACAGAATATGAACCATTTGCCTCTGTTATACTGACTCCATTTCCTGTGTAATATTTAGCTTCAAAGTGTTACATTTTTAGTCTCTCCTTTATATACCTCTGTATTAACTGAAAGAGTATTACATTAGTAAAATTAAAAATATGTCAATTTAATGTTCCAGTTATCTATCACTGTTTAACAAATTGCTCTCAAATGTAGAGGACTAGAACAGCAACATTTGTTTTGGTATCTTCTTTCATAATTTGGTGTGTTGAGTGTACTCAGCAAGGTGGTTTTTACACAGGCTTTCTTAGATGGATGTGGTCCTGTGGTTGCAGGGATATAATCATGGAAGGTCATTCATCCACTTCTCTAGTCAATGTCAAGAAAAAGTCAAACTGACTTTTTGGGTTGGAACAAGTGGGACAATTCTCTCTCTCCACTAAAAGTTTATCTTGGAGGCTTCTGTACTGATTCAGATTCTGTAGAGTTTGGAGAATTGAATAAGAGAGGAAGGAAGAGACAGAAAATAAACACAGGGACAGGAGAGAGAGAGAGAGAGAGAGAGAGAGAGAGAGAGAGAGAGAGAGAGAGAGAGAGAGAGAGAATTGTTTTTTCCAATAGTTTTTGAAAATAAACTATGTCACTTCTACTGTATTGTCTTTGTTGAGGGAGCTATAAGCCTTGCTGAAATTCAGCCAGAAAGGTCACCCAGAGGGAACATAGCTTGTTAAGATTGTCAGGGTATTTGAAATCTTATGTCAATCACCACAAATTTTTGAAGTCATTAACAAAGGTCACTAATTTACTATAAAATATATTAAATAATGATATTAAATGCTAAGTAATATCACAAAAATGTGTGATTTTAGTTTTTGCTGTATAGAAATTTAATAATATATTTATTCATACTTTTTGTAATTTTTTATTTTTTTACAGATATACATAATGATAGAATGTATTTTGATATACATGGAGTATAACTTATTCTAATTAAGATCCCATTATTGTAGTTGCACATGATGTGGAGTTTCACTGGTCATGTATTCCTATATGAACATAGGAAAATTGTCTCTAATTCATTCTATTGTCTTTCCTATTCCCATCTCTCTTCCCTCCCCTTCATTCCAATGAACTTCTTTTCTTTCCTCCCCCAGCTTGTTTTGTGTTAACATTGTATATTATAACATTTGGCCTTTGGTGTGTGGGGATTGGTTTATTTCACTTAGGATGATAGTCTGCAGTTCCATCCATTTAATGGCAAATGCCATAATTCCATTTTTCTTTATGGCTGAGTAATATTTCATTGTGTATATATGCCACATTTTCTTTATCCACTCATCTGTTGAAGGGCACTTTGCTTGGTTCCCTAGATTTCTATTTTTAATCGAGCTGCTAAAAACATTAATGTGGTTGCATCACTGCAGTATGCTAATTTTAAGTCCTTTGGGTTTATAATAAGGAGTGGTATAGCCAGGTCAAATGGTGGTTTTATTCCAAGTTATTATCTGAGTAATATCTATAGTGCTTTCTAGAGTGGTGGCACCAATTTGCAGTCCCACCAGCAATGTATGAGCGAAACTTTTCTCCCACATCCTTGCCAACATTGTTACTTGCATTCTTGATAATTACTATTCTGACTGGAGCGAGATGGAATCTCAATATAGTTTTAATTTGCATGTCTTTAATTTCTAGAGATGGTCAACATTTTTCATGTGTTTGTTGACCAGATGTGTTTTTTTTTTTTTTTTCCTGCGAAGTGTGTGTTCAGTTCCTTTGCCCATTTATTCATTGGGTTGTTTGTTTTTTTGTATATCCTGGAGATTGATGCTCTATCTGACACAGCGACAAACCCACATAAATACAGTTATTTCATACTAGACAAAGGCACCATAAACATACATTGCAAAAAAGATAGCCTCTTCTTAAGTGGTCTGGGAAAACTGGAAATCCATATGCAGCAGAATTAAATTGAACCACATCTCTCACCTTATACAAAACTCAACTCCTAGTGGATCAAGAACATAGGCATTACACCAGAGACACTGTGCCTAGTTGAAGAAAATTTAGGTCCAACCCTCCATCATGTCAGCTTAGAACCTGAATTCTTCCACAAATCTCCTAAAGCATAAGAAGAAAAATCCAGATTCAATAAATGGGTGGTATCAAAGTAAAAAGTGTCCTCATAGCAAAGAAAACAAGAATGTGAATAGACGGACTACAGAATGGAAGAAAATCTTTGCCACCTGCACCATAGAGATTTTAAATATGAAACAAGTGTCATAAAAGAAGGCTTAAGATGGACAAATAGACAAGATTCTGGCCCATGAAGTATTCTGAATTCTAACAAACTGTTAATTTGATATCAAATCTTATAGCTAGCTATGTTGAATCAATATGTTTGTTTTACAAATTAGTTTTAAGCCATATGATTAATTGTAATTTATTATTGGGGAAAGTCAAATATCACAGAAGTACAGAGATTTAACATTAAAATTATTTACCTTGAAATTCTGTGTATTTTTGCAAATTATTTACACTGTGTTTGTACAAGTTCACATATATTTTACTTCATTCCAAAGTGCTTTTCAAATTTATGAACTTTAAGAAAATAAATTTGACAAGAACAGCATGGTTTTGTACCTTATAACATTCATTGTAAGAGTATTTTCACTGACTGTTAGCCATGGAGTTCCAAAGAAAATGCCCCATAAACAAATATGATGATGTGTGGGTTATTTCTGCTTGTGATTCCTAAATATAGAATTTCAATAGCAAGATGACTTTTCAATTTGATTTAAAAATGTTACTCCACATTGTGTTTTCTTAGAAATAGTTTATATATATATATAATATTTATATATAACTATATAAATATTATATATATATATATTATATATATATATATTATATATATATATATATATATATATATTATGAGTCTTTTCTGAGAAAAAAATGTCTTGATTTCATTTCTGTTTCCTACATATCATTAGTTTTTTTGAAGCATGTAAAGTTTAAAAAAAAATTAATTGACACATAATAATTGTGCATATTTATGGGGTAAATTAGGATATTTCAACTCGTATACAATGTTTAATTGTCAGATCAGTGTAACAACAAATCCATCACCTGAAACATGAGTCATTTCTTTTGGGAACATTCAAAACTTTCTCTATTAGCTATATAAAATATGCAATTAACTGTTGTCAATGTTACTTATTCTACTATGTAAAAGAATATTAGAATTATGACTCAAGTATAGCCACACCTCTCTCTTTTTACCATTATTCTTTCCCCTTCTTCCTACCTTTTTCTACTTCTGTGAGATTAATCTTTTGTGCTTCTACAAATGAGAACATATGGTATTTTTTTGTTTGTTTGCTCTATTTCACTTAATATAATGTGCTCCAATTCTGTTTATGTTGGTGCAAAAGGCAGGACATCACAATTTCTTGTGGACAAGTAATATTTGATTGTGTTTACAAAACACATTTCCTATACTTATTTATCCATTGATGGGAACTTAGTTTTATTTCATATTTTGGCTATTGTGAATAGTGATGTGAGAAATATGGGAGTATAGATTTTTTTTTGACATACGAATTTCCTTTCATTTGAATATATACCAGTAGTGAAATTGCTGGATCAAGTGATATTACTGTTTCTGGATTTTCCTTTCCTTTTTCTGGAATTTCCATAATGTTTTCCATGACTATACCAATCTACAGTCTTGGTAATGGAGTATAAGCTTTCGTTTTCTCTGCATTCTTGCCAGCAATTTTTTTGTGGTCTTTTGATAAAGCACAGTCTTACTGAGGTGAGACAATTGATATCTAATTTTGGTATAATTTGCAGTTTCCTGATAATTTTCAATGCTGAGTGTTACTTATTGGCCATTTGTATATATTCTTTTAAGAAATATCTAATCAGGTCTTTACCCCATTTGTAATTGTGGTTGAGATTTATCTATTTATCATCTATCTATCTATCTATCTATCTATCTATCTATCTATCTATCATCTCTCATGTATATATCCAACTATCTATGTATTTATCATATATTTATCATCTATTCATCTATACTGGAGATTGGATCCAGGGCCTTATGCATGCCAAGCAGTGTTCTTCCACTGAGCTACATTTCCAATTCTTTTTATTTTTTGTTTTTGCTAAACTGCCAAAGTTGGCATTGGACTTACACTTCTCCTACCTCAGACTTTCTAGCCATTGGGATTAGAGATATGCCAAATATTTTACTGGTGAAATATTTTCTTCTAGTTTAATTTTGTATAATTAAGCATGTATGGATAATTATATTTTAAACTCCACACACAGTCTACTGGGAAATGCCCTTGAGTGGAATCCCTACTACATAACATCCCACATAAATAAATAAATAAACAAATAAA